AACTGACTCGAACCACCGGTCGAACCGGCCGGTTCGCTGGCTGGCCGGATCGCCGGCCCGACTGGGCCGGGCGGTCGGGCTGGGTTCGGCTAGACCGGGCTCGGTCCCGTGCCGGGCCAGCTGGTGCCCGGGCACGGCGCTGGGCACGGCTGGTGCGACCGGGCTCGGTCCCTGGTGCCGCTGGACTTGGCTAGGCGCGGACTGGCGCTGGTGGGCACGGCCAGGGGCTGTTGGCACGGCCCGGGCACGACTGGTGCCCCTCGGGTGCGCGCTGGGCACGGCCGAGGCTTGGCTGAAGCCCTGTCGTGCGGCTGGGCACGGACTGAGGGTTGCTGGGGCGCGCTGGCGTGCACTGGGCACGGTACGGCGCGGACTGGCACTGGTCAGGGGCTACGCGGGCGCTGCCGGGCGCCCTGGAGGGTTCTGGGCACGCGGGCGTGCTGCTGGGCACGTCCCGGGCCGGCTGGGCTAGGGCAGACGCGGGACAGACACGGGCAGAGGCCACACGGGCGCTACTGGCCGTCCCCGAGGTCACTGGGCTCTCGGGCGTGCTGCTGGACACGCCCCGAGGCCGACTGGGCTCAGCTGACCCTGCTCGGGTCAGCCCTGGACTTGGCACGAGGCTCTGGCACGAGACCTCGTGCGCTGGGCTTGGCACGGACGCTGCCGGGCGTCCCTGGGCACGCGGGTGTGCTGCTGGGCACATCCCGGGCCAACTGCGTGCTCGGGCGTGGCACTGGCACGACCCGAGGTCGGCTACGCATGACACGCGAGGCCATGCGTGCACTGAGGCTGGGACAGCGCGGCCAGGCGCTGTCGGGGTTGCTTGGGCGCGACGGGCGCCACGACCCCGGGTACGACGCGGACAGGCACTGCGGGCGCGCTGTCGCGGACACTGGTGCCTCGCGCACGCTGGCGCGGGCACGGACTGGCACAGGGCCGGGCACTGGCGCGCTATGTGCGCGGGCAGTGACCAAGGCCGGCCCTTACCGGACCTCCGGCAACATTTCCGATTACATGCAACTCCAAACATCATGATATGGTAAAATAAGCATAAATATCACATAAAACACTAGTGGACCCCGGGTCCACATGCATGATACTCGGGAGGGCCTAAATGGCACGTACGAGTAACTTGGCCTCCGAACCAACATTCATAACTTACAAAACTACTCAGGGCCGGATGATATACATCACAAATGATGACTATAATGGCTAACACTTGGTTCATACCATGCATGCATGAGGATGGGCCTCGGGTGGCCAAAATAGCGTATTTTCATGAATGAATTGACCAAGGCAATGAACTCCATTTATTCTCAAATTTTTACAGCATCAATGGTATGATATTTAAGGGTGATTTAACCAAAATTTTCGACTTTAACATGCTTGCTACTAAAATTTCATTTTTAAGGCCATTTAATTCAAAAATTCGAAAATCACATATAATGGCATGCATGGCTCGATTTTTCTTCATGAAAAATCTTAAAATATCATAAAATAATTTATGAAGTCAAAATTCCCGAGCTTACCTCGGTTAGAAATTTAGAACTAGTGCTAGGGCTCAAAGTGTGCTTAAACACGGCCTTGGTGCTAATGGTGGTCTTGTGGTGTGATTCTCTCGAGCCTATCCCTTCTAAAAGACTTAGAAAAATCTAAGTAACACTTAGAATATGCTAAGCCTCGAGAGAATATGGCTACAAGTGGCTGAACATCGCTGCTCCTCCTTCCCCGGGCTAGGCGCGTGCGGTGGTGCAAGGTAAGGGCTCTTGGTTCTTTTCTCTTGTTTTCTCTCAAAGTGCTCGAGCTCTCAAGTTTCAAAATGTCTAAGAGTCTCAAATGGACTGAAGAAGGCTGTTTATAAAGAGGTTTGGGCGGATTTAACAAGGTTGGGTCAAAGGGGACATGATAAGTGGTCTTATTCCACTCCATTTGCATGGGAACTTGAGAGGGGTGATGGGGCATGGCCTTGGGCTGATATTGCACGGTCTTAGAGACCATTTTCAAAGTATAATATCATAGTGGAGAGGTCAGGTCAGGTTTGGAGGTTGCATGGGGGACAAGGACAAAAATACTTGAATAAACTAATGTGTGCACATTGTCACGTCCTTATTTCTCAAAAGATGCGTGCGGCCTTAGCCTCTCGTTGCGCCCCTCGTGCAAACTAGCTAAGTCAGCCTCACCGTGCCTTGACCGTGCTCGGTGTGTGCGAGTGCTTTGGCTAGAGAACGTGCAAAAGGGGGTTAATGGGAAAATGCTCGTACTATTCACACAAACTTTGTACAAGAGCTTGATTGTTGCTTGGATGCTTGGATGGGGACCAAATGAGTGGGGCGTCCCCTATTTATAGTTTCCCCACCGCCTTTAAGGAATCCTCTAGAACCTACAAGGGTCTTGAGGGTTCTAGTCCCTTCTACAAAACTCCTACTTTATACACACAAGTCCTAGAACCTTCTACATGGCTCTAGGCCCTTCAAGTCCCTACTACACGCATCTATACAACTCTAGGACCTTCTAGAAGCTCCTAGACAA